TTAAAGACTGCTATGATTACTATTTTATGTCAATCTGATTTGACAGTGGAAACTGTCCTAATTGAACTAGGACACTTAACTATGATGGGGCTGAATGCCCTGTGGTAGTAGGGGCCAAATGGCAGCAGTTAATTGACAGACAAGGTGGGCATGGTTACCATAATGGACAGCAGAATCAGAACAGTAATCAGAATAGTCTGATTTGTATGGAATTATGGCATTGGCTACTTGTGCATGGTGTTCCTAGTAGTGAAATACATGGCAAACCTACTAAATATTTACTTGATCTGCACAGACAGAAGAATTCTAGGTCATGTAAATAGCAGCCTAGATTGAATCACCAGAATACAGAGTCATGCCTCTCAATCAATTCCCAGATTTGAGTCAGTTTACAGACTCACGACCCTTTGAATGAAGCAGAGGCTGGGTCCCTTTGATGAAGCACCCCACTACATTAACAAAAATCTATAATGTCAATCTTTCTCCCATCCTTCCCCAAAGGGATCTGAGGCCTTTTACGAGAGTGACTGTTCACTGGGGAAAAGGAAATAATCAGGCTTTTCGGGGATTACTGTTCACTGGCTCTGAACTGACACTAATTCCAGGAGATGCACCATTCAGAGTGGGGCACCATTCAGATGGAGTCTTAGCTAAGGTGCATCTCACAGTGGGCCCACTGGGTCCCCAAACCTATGCTGTAGTGATTGCACCAGTTCCAGAACACATAATTGGAATAGATATACTGAGCAATTGGCACAATTCCCACATGGGGTCCCTGACATGTGGAGTAAGGGCTATTATGGTAGGAAAAGCCAAGTAGAACCCATTAGAACTGCCTCTACCTACAAAAATGGTAAATCAAAAGCAATACCGCATCCCTGCAGGGGTTTCAGAGATTACTGCCACCATCAAGGACTTGAAGGATGCAGGGGTGGTGATCCCCACCACATCCCCATTTAATTAAACTATTTGGCCTGTGCAAAACACAGATGGATCTTGGAGAATGACAGTAGATTATCATAAACTTAATCAGGTGGTGACACCAATTGCAGCTGCTGTTCCTGATGTGGTTTCATTGCTTGAGCAAATTAGTACATCTCCTGGTACTTGGTATGCAGCTATTGATCTGGCCAATGCCTTTTTCTCAATACCAATTTCAAAGGACCATCAGAAGCAGTTTGCCTTCAGCTGGCAAGGCCAACAGTATACATTTAACAGTGCTTCCTCAGGGGTAGATCAACTCCCCAGCACTATGTCATAATTTAGTCCGTAGGGCTCTTGATCACCTTTCCCTTCCACAAGACATCACACTGGTCCATTATATTGATGAATTATGCTGATTGTACTTAGTAAGGAAGAAATATCAATTACTCTGGACTTATTAGTGAAACATATGCATGGTAGAAGTTGGGAAATTACTGCAACAAAAATTCAGGCACCTTCTACATCAGTGAATTTTCTAGGGGTCCAATGATTTGGGGCATGTCAAGATATTCCTACTAAAGTAAAGGATAAGTTATTGTATCTGGCTTCCCC